GATTCCACCACGATTACGCTGCTGACCTGGCCAAAATATCCATCCTTTCAGCCGCCTGTCATCTCGGGCTGCCGGGCGTTGCCGATGGATGGAATTAGAGGAGAGAAGATCAGTCCCTCGACGACTTTCCTTGTCGAATTGGTGCATTCCTCGTCTGTGCTGCCGGGCGTTGCTGATGGATGGAATTAGAGGAGAGAAGATCAGTCCCTCGACGACTTTCCTTGTCGGATTGGTGCATTGCTCGTCTGAAGCACAGACGGCTGCGGCTCGGGCAGGCGTAACGCCAGGGGTCGTGTGAATGACTGATGGAAATGGCGACTCCACCCCCGAAAGTATAACCCGGAAACCAGTGAGAGGATAGGGTTGGGGCCCCTTTGGGGGCTCTTAAGACTCTTAACCCACTTCACGGCCACGAGCACGTCGACCAGAGCATCATCCCTCTTGGCCATGAACTGAGGCAGCTCATTGATATATATCCCTTCGCAGGGGCAATTTTTTCTGCACGTCTTGCAAAATTGCCCCTCGGTGTTGCGAAATTGGGCCTTGGATAAGCAAAAAGGAACCCCACCCACCGACAGGTTACTTGAACTTACTTCTCATTATCGGTTCAAACTTTTTTTTTTTTTTTTTTTTTAATCCGTTCCCTATTATCGTCTGATGTGAGAGGAGAGGCTGGGTGTTACATGCTGCGCCTGCACACGAGGGCCATTTTCCACGCCCTGCGTCCCTCAGGCTGAAAGCCTGAAAACCAGGGCCTACAGGCCCCGTGTCTGTTCAGCTCGAAAGCCTGAAAAACAGGGGCCTACAGACCCTGTGTCGTTTCAGACTAAAAATGGCAGTAGCCTTTTTAGCCTGAAACGAAGGGCCATTTTCGGTCTGTCATCAGACCGACCTGCCTTGAAACTCAGGCACCGAACCAGGGTTTTAGGAATAGGCTATTTCTGGCCTGTTCCCACAACAGCTGCAGCGCCAGCCCCTGGCTCAGCTTGGCATTGGCAAGAGCAGCCTCCTGGACTGCCCGCCCTGCAACTGCAGGCAGTCAGAGGCAGTCAGGAGGCAGGCCGAGGTAGTACATAGGGACTTCCCATGCACTTCACGGGTAGGCAGGAGGCAGTCAGTAGTCTTCAGGATTCGGCAGCAGCACTCTGGAGGAGCGCTGCAGGAGTAGTAGTAGTAGCGTTAGCATTAGTCTTCAGCGCTGGGCGCTAGTAGCGTTAGCTGTAGTCTTCAGCGCTGGGCGCCATAGCTAGAGTAGTACTAGAGAGAGAGAGAGATTAGGCGGAGGCCAGGGATACTTACCTGCAGCGCCGTTGCTCCAGCTTCGTCTTCGAAGTACCTGCAGCACAGCGCCATCTTCACAGGTTAGTACCTGGCATACGAGAGAGAGAGAGAGAGTTCTTCTTCTTCCTCTTCTCAGTCCACCATCTCCCTCTCACCCTCTCAATATCTGACTTCACTGCATCAGCAGACTCGTGACAAAGACTTGGTGTTGACGACATTCCCATCTCTCCCCCTCCTCTTCGTCTGTTCCCCTCCTCTTCGTCTGTGCATGGTCAGAGCCTGGCGCCATCTTCCTGTGTACAGCGCCAGGTCTCTTCACACCTCGTGATGATAATGATGTATGTTCAGTCTGCATTGAAACATTGACTGGGCTAGTCCTTAGTATTCTAGCATTCTGCTTCGCTAACTTGTACTACGTGAAAGAGGTCAGTCTCAGTCAGGTCAGGATTTGTATCTAAGTCTTCCCTGCGCTATCAAGCACCATTTTGTATGTATTGGAATGCACATTGCTTGTTGAGATTCTACTTGCACTGCATTGTCCATTCAGTCCTTTTTATCACATTGCGGATCCTCAGTTTGTATGTACATCGCCCAACTGGGCATGTAACACTGGGGGACCACCACCTTGTACCTCTTTGTCTTTGGATTGAAAGATCAGGACCTCTGCTCCACTGCACAACTTTCATAAATGAATCTAGACTTGGTAGTTGTCTCAATACCTTGACGACTTTCGATCCGTCCGAACGTATCTGGTTGGATTTCAGTCCAGATACATGTAGAGTGTTGAATAGCGGAGCGAGGCCCTTCGTCTGTCTGAGCAGGTAGGCTAAATAGTAAATCCCTGAATGAAGAGAGATGGTTAGCGGGGGACCAAAAATCCCCCATTTTCGGCACGTCACCACAAGCAGCAACGTAGTCGAAGACTTTGGAAAGAGACAATATGCTCTTATGTACAAGTTCCACGATGGAACTGGTGCGGGACCACCACCTCGTTGCCGTTTTAGAACAAAGGGTGGAATGGCAAGGGCCCAGGGGGACGGGACACGGATCAAGATGCGACTGGTGCGGGACCACCACCTCCTCTTCCAAGAGTTGACCAAGATCGATGCTTCTATGCCAAATTGCCAATACGCCCCTCGCCAGACTTCCCTGACCTCTCCCCCCTGCTACCCCCTGCTCCCCTGGTCACAGTACAGGACAGTGGGTGAGAGAGTAGTGGGTGCGAGGTTTGTGTGCGGACGTCGGAAGACGCGAGAGGGGAAAGGGTAGTCAAATACCCTGCCACTCCGAAAATCCCTTTCTACATCGCAGATCCCTTGCACAAACTGGAATACTTTATCTTTAGCAAATTTAGATCCTTGGCACACGTTTGGAAGGCTGCCTCAGTGGTGTGACTACCGTCTTTTTTTTTTTTTTTTTTTTTTTCCCTAACATAACGCATAACATGTGTTGTATTCGAGTTCTCAAAAAAAACGAAAATTCCGATCCACAGCATATGCGCTGTACTCGGAAAATAAGGGTTGTTCTAATAGAACATGCATACTCTAGGGCATGGGCACGGTCCCTCGGGAAGATGACCAGTTCCGGTGCTCCTATGACAGTGCCCGCTATAGGTGGGAATCTGGCCTCTACAACAACCTGGGCTTTAAAAAAAAAAACAAAAGTCGACAAGAGATGTGCCCATAGGGCCCCCAACACACACCTGCCTTCCCCCCTCCCTACACACCTCCCCTTTGGCGTTTTTTTTTTTGTTTTTTTTGTTTTTGTTTTTTTCCAGCCTTTTCGATTTCTGTTTCACTTTTCCCCCTCCTTCCTCTGTCTCTCTCCCACACGCTATTCCTCACAACGTTTCTCATCCTCCCTGCCATCTGAAACAACGACTATGTTCATAAAGTACACCCTCGGCCATTGCACACAACCACACGCCCTGTACTCATACATAGTACCTTTCTCCGCTGCAGAACATTGTAAATGTATCTGGATCTGGTAATGGTCCCCATGCATTCAAAGTGTTTCCATTGGCCTACACAGTCCACATACATGTAGAGTGTTGAGCAGTGCACTGAGTTCATCCAATGCTTTCCCAGATTCTTGCCGCAAACAGCGAATAGAGTCAATAGACTTGAAAAATAATGACAAGGTGAAAAAGCATCCATCCGCACGTCGTCATTGTCAGAGGGACACCTTTTTTTAAGTTTTTTGAACCTTTTTTCTTCTTTCTTTTTTTTTTTGGGGGGGGGGGGGGGGACGCACGTTAATATACCCATAGAGGAGGGAAGGTCTTTAACCAATTTCTTGAAGTAAAAATAGAAAATAAAAAAAAGAAAAAAACAGAAAAGGAAACCAATTAACAAATCTTTTTTTTTTCTTTTTTTCCCCTTTTCAAAAACAACTAAATTAATAGAGAAACAACTGCTGGCCAATTCCGAAAGAGATTCACAAGGGCCAAATCCCTCACATCACTCCTCCAAGTTCCAACAGATTAAAAAAAAAAAAAGCTGTTCTATGAGGTACTATAAAGTTAGTATAAATTAGTATAAGGTGTAGTCACTATAGTGGAATTGAAGTACTATAAACAATAAACAAGCGGCACTGGGGCACCGTTAGCCCCAACACCAGTGGTCCCAGTAGGGACAAAATCATTGACCTGCATGACCGTTACTAAGGGCCCTACCGTAGCACCCCTGGAACCAGTACCAATGGGCCCAGTACCAGTGGGCCAAGTATTAACGGTCCTAGTACCCCTTGTACCAGGACTAATAGGCCCAGTACCCGTGGGCTGAGTACCCAATAATCCCAGTGTCAGTTGGCCCAGTACCAATAAACCCAGAAGTCATAGGCCCAGTGGCAATAGGCCCAGTAGCAATATGCCCAGTAGCAATATGCCCAGTACCATCTGGTACTGGGCCCAGCAGCCATGGGTCCAGTACTGGTGGGACCCCAATACCGATGGGTCCCACGAGGGGGAAGTTGACTGCCGTCTTCACCCGAATAGAATGCCCGGTAGTTATCGCCGTATCTGGGCTGAAAGTTGTGCCAAATACAGCTATAATGACCGGGCGTTATATTCGGGAGAAGACAGTAGCCTCTGTCTGCCTGCCTGCCTGCCTGCCTGCCTGCCTGCCTGCCTGGGAGTCGAGAAAGCTGCAAAGCAGTTCCAATCCTGAAGGACGTTTGTCCAGCTGGCTGTCTGGCTTCCTACTTACCTGTTTGCTTAACTGAGTTAACTCTAGGTTCGAGCCATCCATCCATCCAGCTCGGATAGTTGTTCTTCTGGCTGTCTGCCTGTCTGCCTGTCTGCCTGTCTGCCTGTCTGACTACATGGTTGCTTAACTCTAAGCTCGAGCAAGCTATCCAGCTAAATCTTTGTCTGTCTGGCTGGTTACCTATTTGATGAACTCTAGGCTAGAACCATCCACCCAGCTAGGATAGTTGTTCATCTGTCTATCTGCCTGTCTGACTGCCTGACTGCCTGACTGCATGGTTGATTAACTCTAAGCTTGAGCCAGCTTAATAAACTCTTTGTCTGTCTGCCTGGTCACCGGTTTGATTAACTCTAGGTTCGTGCCAGTCATCCAGCTAGGATAGTTGTTCATCTGGCTGTCTGGCTATCTGGCTATCTGGCTGTCTATCTGCCTGTCTGCCTGTCTGACTGCCTGACTTTCTGACTGCATGGTTGATTAACTCTAAGCTTGAGACAGCTATCCAGCCAGTTTAACTAACTCTAGTTACTTTTATCTTGCCGATCTTCCGGATTTTGCTACGACACTTGCTATTGCTTTAGTTTGAATCACTCATCCAGCCTCTTCGATTGACTCACTCCAAGTGTGAGCCGTCCATCCATCCATACATACATACATACATCCGTTCAGCTATTTTTACCTCTGAGTTCTGCAGTTTAGAACTGGGAATCAATCAAATAGCTGCTGAGCCGTTCCAAAGGATGTCCAAAAGGCTGCGCCAGCTGCATAGACGATAGACGTAACGATAAGTACCGTTCGGAATGATCCCGTCGTCTCTGCCAGCCAGCCTGCAATCACAGTGCCAAGAATCCCGGCTGCAGTCCCCACAGTATTTGCCATGCCTGCATAACAAACGTAACAGACGACAGAGAGCAGATCAAGCACGGAAGTCGACAACATGCTGCAATAGCACAAAAAAAGAGAGAGAAGAAGAAAAGGAAAAAAACAGAGAGGAAAACACGTCCGTCGTTTTGAGAGGGTCGCATATTTCAAGCCTGCCTCACTGATACAATGTAGCATATCAGAAAGTGAAATGCACTGACAGCCTAGGATCTAGCAATGACGAAAGTGGCAACAACCAGCAGCATAGGTGCAGCATTCACAAGATGTCAATGTGCATGATGCAAAGAGCAACCCAATGAGAAATCAACAACAACACATTCGTATCATTATCATCATGGGCTGTGAAGCAGCGCAGCGGAAGATTTAGTATCAAAGGACACGTGGACAACAACATGAAAAGGAGAAAACTTCGAAGGGCAAGACATCAGAAAGATTGCCCTTCCGCTCAAACACATGGGGAGAGATCCATAGACATGCGAGAGAGAAGGGGGAGGGACAGAGGTAACCAAGTCCAACCCAAGTCTGATCTCCGAATGTCACACACAGTTCAATCCCAATGTAGAGTGCAAGTCAGATCTGAATGTCGTGTCCAATAGGGCAGAATGCCGTGTCCAAACAATGTCTGCAGTTACCTCTATCTCTACTCTGAGAAGAAGAAGAAGAAGAAGAAGAAGAACTTCGGAGGAGTAGGAGGAGAAGAGGAGTGGAGAAGAAGAAGAAGAAGAAGAAGAAAAAGAAGAAGAAGAAGAAGAAAGCTAGGTGCTTTCTGCACTTACCTGGCGATGGCTGAACTTGCAGGTACCGCGGAGCCAGCTATGGCGCTGGGCAGGTAAGTCCTCTTCTCTCTCTCTCTCTCTCTCTCTCTCTCTCTCTCTAGCTCCACTACCCTCCTCGGCGCTGGACTCCTCCAGCGCTGTGCCTCATAGCCGATGAGCAGCGCAGCTGCAGTCTCGAAATAGCGCAGCAGGGAGTCTCCAAAATAGCGCAGCAGCCAAGTTCCTGAACCAGCATAACGCTAGATTTCTCCTGGTACCTTCTGTGTCCGAACTGGGCAATGGCCCAGCTTAAGTAGTGCTGGGCCAGGACTGAAAACCCACGGCCTGCGTTCTGGACCGTGCAGATCGAAACTCCGATCCACGGTCCAGATCGCAGGCTTCGAAAACTGGTTCAGTCCTTGGCCTAAAACGGCCTGACTGGGTCCCTACCGGATGTCCAGGCCCTGTCCAGGATTAATCTTCCTGGTACCT